TGGCACTGTGCCATCTTGTTTTAAGGAGGCGGGGGTTAGGCCACTCCTGAAAAAACCTTCCCTAGACCCCTTGGATAGAAACAACTATAGACCAGTCTCCTTGCTACCTTTTCTAAGCAAGGTGATCAAGAGGGAAGTTGCTTCCCAACTCTAAGCAGTCTTGGATGAAACTGATTATCTCAATCCATTTCAAACCGGCTCCAGGACAGGATTTGGAGTGGAGACTGCCATGGTTGCTCTGACCAATGACCTCCACCTGGGCATCAATAGGGGTAGTGTGACCCAGTTGGTGCTCTTGGATCTCTCAGCGTCTTTTGACACTATAGATCATTCCATCATCTTGGATCGCCTGAGAGAGTTGGGAATCGGAGGCACTGCTCTGCAGTGGTTCCATTCCTTCTTCTCGGGCAGATCCCAGAGGGTGAGGCTCGGGGACAGTTGCTCTTTTAATTGCGGTATATACAAGACACTGACACAGAATTAAAAATCTATTATGAACCTTCTGTTTAATCTGGCTGAAGGACTGGATGAATTTACAAAATAAAATACTTACTATTAGAGTGTCAAACCTAAAAAATATGGGTTGCATGCATATCTTTTCAATGCCAAGCATAAAGTAAATAAGGATTTTTAAAAATCATTACATTAGAAATTCACTATTGGAAGTTTGAAAAAAAAATATAAAAATACCTGCCCTATATTCCCAATTTGGGCCTCCCCATGAGACTTTTTTAAATCAGACCCATGGAGAAATGTATATGGATTACATATAAAGATATGTTTATACAAAACAACCAACTTAAAATAAGGAATTAAAGGAATTAGAGGAATTAAAAAAGAGGAGATAATTAATAATTGGTTTAAATACAGACAGTTAAAAGAAAGATTCCAGTTAGATAAGTCAAAGGACGAATTAGGAAGTGGAAATTCAGAATTAGCAAATGTGGTCTTATCAGAAAAAAAAAGGCTATAGTGTCAGGACTGTATAAACACTTGTTGAAACTATATACAGAAGATGAACAGGTGAAAGATAATATGACAAAGTGGGCCCAAAATGCTGAGTATAATCTGGAAATTGATCAATGGGAAAAAACTTGGAAAAAATACTTATCTATACAAGATGCCAGGATGTGAGAGAAAACTTTTTTTCCAGATGGTGCCTGACACCAAAAAGGATAAGTAAAATCTATAAAAATAGCAACAACAAATGTTGGAAGTGTAGAAAAGAAAATTGAACAATATTTCATATCTGGTGGACATGCCCAATGGTTAAAAGTGTTTAGAAACAAATCAGACAAACAATAAGATGTTGGGAATAAATACTGAACTGAAAGCAGAAATATTTTTGTTAAATATGGTGGATGAATAAAACGAGAAAAAACATGGTCGTATTTTATTTTATATGATTGTTGCTGCGAGAATGGTCATTGCAAAATACTGGAAATGCGATAGAATACCAGAAATAGAGGAATGGAAATATAAGAAGTAGATAGAATAACAAGAATCTTAGAAGAACAAGATGTAAATAAATATTTGGAAGATTGGAATGAAATAGTAAAATATTTAGCTCAAAAGTGGGGAGAAATTGCTATCATGAAATTCAAAATAGAGTAAAATTGTATGGAAGAGGGCAAGTTAGCAAAAAATGTTTTTTTAATAGGATAATAAAGAGGATTGTGGTGAAAAGTTTACATAAAGCTACATGGAAATGTAAGACAATCTGAAAAAATATTAAATGAAGAAAAGATGACAGAAGACAAACCTTAAGCAATGAAGAAAGGATCAGAGATGAAGAAAAAAAGGAAGTTACCAAGAGGCTAAAGAGACTGGCATGAAGAGCAGGTGTTCCAACTGCATGGGGGCATCGTGTGCAGACAGCAGCACACCCCCACACTACCAGGAAGCCATAAGGCTGACCGCACATGTGGCAGCATCACGGTGTTTCTGCGGCACAGCATTTGTTAAATACGCTGCGGCGAAAGGGCACTGAAGAGCCACGGCACTGGCTCTTGGGTGGCATTTTGCCGCTCTTTTACGGGCAGCAAAAGGAAAGATCAGGGCTGCAGCATGGGATTGTCGCGGCCGCAATCCACTGCTCCCCAGGGCAGCTCTCTATGGCTCAAATGGGCCATGTGCATCGGCCCTACAAGATCTGTGAAGGGCTGTTAATAGTAGGGTGACTTGGAGACCTCCCATTCATAAGATGTCATAAGTTGAAGTAGTTAATAGTTAATTTCTATAAACATTTTAAAGGAGCTACACCTTAAAAACAAAGGCATTTTCCAAAATTTTTTCAAACTCTTCCTCTCCTCTCCCAATCCCATTAACAAATTTATCTCTCATAAACCTTGCTCTTAATTGACTAAACAAAAACCATCCACAACTATATCCCTTTCTTAATACCTCCTCATGAGCTATTAATTTTACGTCTTTTGACTCATTGTTAAATTCGACTAATTCATTGTACGTGACCCACTCGAGGTTGTTTAATCTTTCTCTTCTAAAAAGACCTTCTACAAGTGGGTTGTTGTAGTATATTTGTTGTGGGAAACGCAAGGGCCAAGGCAAAGGAATGGCATGATCACACTGAACTCAGTATTAACCTATCAGCAATATCAAGGATTTATCTCCATACCTTTTGCTAGTTTCTAGAAAACTTGAGGGTTAATTATGATAGTTAAAATATGAACTGACTCACATATTTTAATATATATACCAATGCCCAAAGGGGATTATGGTTGACTCCTAGAAAAAAATCAGAGCTGAACATTCACTAGCAACCAAGATGTGGCTGTCATATTTTGGAAACATAAACAGAGGCTGTCATACTTTGGAAACATAAGATGATGTGGCTTAGTGGAAAGACAACAGTGCCAGGTGAAGTGGAAGGGAAAAGATAAAGACCTTATCACAGGTGTATTTATTCAATCAAAGAAGCCACCCCAATTTGCAAGACTTGATGACTGGTTGTCTTGAGGGTAAAAGACAACAAATATGCAAAAGGCAGAAATGCAGCAGAAAATGGAATAATGAGAGAAGCCCCTCACTGGAGGTTTTTGTTATTTGTACTATTGCTGGAAGCAAAGGAGCCAGTGGTGAGAATGTCTGCCATTCTATTTCTATGAGCAGAAGCACCTCTGAGTGCCACTGGGCTGGCTTTTTAAGCCATACAAATTGCCCTCTTTTAAAATAACAAATTTTCAAATCTAAAAAAAGCCTGGCAGCAACTGGTACCTCCCTGTGAATATCAAGACTCAGACATGGTTCAGCCAGGGTGAGGCTCCCATCAAGGCAACCTGGCTATGGACGTTATCAC